TTTTGGAAGGCTGATTCCCCGTCCACGAAGATATTAATGATCTAAAAACCAGCCGTCGGATATGCGTGGTGCTCACGTACCGGCTCGTAAAAGTTTTTTTCGCGTAATTTGCTAACTCGAGAATCTGAAAAGCAAGAAGATTGGAATTTTGAAGGATTGTTCTCCATGCAAGTATGTGTGAGCTCAAATCCAGTACCAACGTAGGGGCTCATGAAATTTTTTCGGGTAATTTAACATGGGAACGCAGGAACCTAACGCGAGAACCTGGGAAGCTAGGGGATTGGAATTTTAAGGGGATATTCCCCATCCAAATAGGTATAATGAGCTCAATCCTAGAAACCAGGTACGCGTGGTATCCACGCACGGGTCAGTGAAATTTTTTTCGGGTAAGTTGCTAACTCGGAGCCTGGAAAGCTAGAAAGCTGAAATTGTAAGGGGGTGTTTCCTGACAGTTCTGGCGGCCAGTTTTAATTTGTTTTGCTAGAAGCATTTGCCGGAAAAAGCGATGCCGGTAGCAACAAAAACTGCATGGAGCTATGCAAAAAAAGCACCTTCGCACGGGCAGCCCGTACGTTAGCCAATTATTTTTAAATTCCTTCACTTATTCATACATTTTTCAGATCGGCTTTGTTCATTTACTCCATGTTTCTTGTAAGGTTTCTTTAGCTAAAGCTGCCAGAACTTGTGATCAGTTTCTTAAATAACGGTTTTTATACAAGCTGAAAATATGAGCGCAGGCTGCGATAAGAAACTGTAGTATATGGATATACTACATTATGCGCACAGGTGCATGCACTGGCACCAGTAAAACTCTGATTCACAAAGAATTCACTGTAGATGCCGGCGAGAATAGCCATTTTGGAGCATAAGGTCCAATCTGGCATAAAAAAACCAATTGACCGAAAATTTTAAATTTCTCGCTTTAAATTCTTAAATAGTTTAATTATCGGAATCGGAGAGATCAATTTGAATGTCATATATATTGGCGAAAACAACGCTTATTATCAACAATGAAGGATTAATTTTAAGAATTTCAGGTTTTCAGGCGAGAATACTAAACTGCCAAAATATCACTATAATATTAGAAATATCAGTGTTGTTTCTTCTGTTTCTTTTTGAAGGTTTCATTTCCTTTGTCATGCGCCGGCTTTTTGGTGTCAGAAAACGGTTGCTTCAGCACATTTTACCAAAAATATCGATCATAAAAAAGTGACAAACAAAAAATGAAAATTAACGCTTAGAAATACACAAAACTCCTAGTGTAAAAAACACAACTAGTTTTTTAATTGCTACCATTGTACTTCGCCTTTCTTCGGGCATCTAGCATCACAAACTTCCTTCAATCCCCAGTTTCCGTCACCTGACCCAGCATGCACATATTTTACAGTCAGTAGCAAATAAAAGCGTCTTACAACAAACAAATCAATTGAAAACTTCGGCAGTAATTATTTCGTTAGTTCTGCAGTTGTTTTTGATCCTTCTAATCATCTTGTAAAGAGCTGTTCGCCATCGTACTGCTTTCTTTCTGCAACTTGCCTTTTATGAGTTTGAAATAGCAGATGTTACTGACAGTGCAAAAGCAAAGAATTCAGGCCGCCCTCAGCTAGCGTTTCATCAGTCCTCTAAGAAAGGCACTTCTTTTACGCACACTTTATTTCTCAAAATTTGGCTAGATCGCGCAGTGGGAAACGAGAAATATGATGTTCTTCATGAAGCAGTTGGTTGGAGAGCGTCAGAATGAATAGACAGAATATGCTACGAGGACATATGCAAAAGCATAAAAACGGTAGAAAGTCAGACAAGTCTAATGAAACACAGTACCTTGGCGATTTCCAGTCTAAGTGTAGCTAGTGCGTCCACCATAAAATCCGATCGAAGACCTGACACTAAGAAGTAGCCCAGACTATCCACTGAGCCATCTTTAGCGAGCAGATCACGGATCTCCAGCAGCATAGACTGGACGCCGTGCAGTTGAGCAAGCGTCCATGTTTGCATTTCGAAATCGCCACCACATAGCAGTGCAGTCGCGAAGCACAGCCACTGGTCATCATTAAGGTGGTGATGAGCATCCAGCACACACCCTTGAAAAAATTTTGACAAATCGGCATAAGAAATATGAAAAAGGTTTTCTTCGATAACATTTTATGAAGAAGGGCGATTTCAAAAACAATGCAAGCCTGAAAACCGATAATTCACAGAGCTGCTTTCCTTCCTTATGTGAGCTAAAGTACAAATTTAGCTTTTAAGCATATTTATGTGATGGGCTTAAAGCGGCGAAAGTCATTGTTGGTACCATACCAGCTCGAAAATCAGTCGGAAAAAGACAGTAGTAATTTTGCAGGAATAGCTGCCGCTCACGTGCCGACTCTTACACCTGAACTTCGTTTTTGCTTGCACCTGCCTCATACGTAAGAGCACGTTGAAGAATTCGTTTTATTAATAGTCTAACTACTTCAAAATTTGTGCAAAAATGCACGGTCATGCCAGCAGTCGCGACAGGGTTTCAGCAGTATCATCAATTCTGGAATGGCATGAGACGTCAAGAGAATGGTCATGAACCGTATACTCATAGCATATGTGCACGCCGCAGCTCATATCGTATTCCTCTTCGGACAAGCGTGCTATAAGAGGAAAATTCATGTTTCAAGAAGCAAAATGCATACTTATTGCAGTTCTTCTCGACAAGTTATCCCGCTCCTTCTCTAGTTCCTGCTGTTGCAGCGATTGTACCATCTGCTGCAAGAATATTCCTACTACTGGATTCATTGCCGCCAACGCTAGTAGTGGCTGTTAACCCAGGCTGGAACGCATCAGGCGGGCCCATGCGATCATACGTTTTTGCACCAGACTTGAAGCACTCTGGTCATTGACTGCGTGAATGGCTTTGCTTTACACCTACTTTTTGCGGCCACCAGCATAAATCACCATAAATTATGCGAAGAAAATGTACAATTTCACGTAACAGCCGTTCTTTAAAAGTAACCTAGTTGTTCAGTGCGACATTTTTCCGCCAAGACTCTTAAGTGACCATAAGTAAGAACCACGCGTGCCTCAAGCTAAATCTGAAATACTTAAATTGTACTTGAACAGGGAACATTCTCCCAAAATTTCAGTTTTCCAGCTTTTCTGGTTGCTGACTTAGCGATTCTCTCGCCAAAACCTTCATATACCCGTACATGGGTACTCCACGTGTCTGGAAAGCTGAATTTGAAATTTTTAAACTGCACTTGGACAGGGAACATCTCCTCAAAATTTCAGCCTTCCAGCTCTTTTGGTTGCCGAATTAGTAATTTTCCTGCAAAAACTTTCGTACACCCTTACATGAAAATCACGCATGGTTTGGGGCTGAATTTGAAACTTTTGAGGCTGAATTTGAAACTTTTGTGTTTATGTTTGTGCGTGTGTGTTCGTCCGTCCGGGTATTTCAACTCGGCAACCAAGCAAGTTCCAGCGCGATCATGCGTCATTGAGTACCAACATTGAGTACCACGCATAACTGGGGGTTGAATTTGAAATCTTTAGCTAGCACATGCACGGGGAAAATCCTTACAAAGTTTCAGCTCCTTTGTTGCAAAGGAAAAAAAGAAGGAGCGAGAAAAAAAAAGGAAGCGAAGTTCATTCCCCTTCGCCTTGTCCAGTTGCCCTTCGGATACCTGTAATATGTAAATGCCCCGTCTCTTGGCTCGAGTTCCCCCCTCCGCGATATTTAATGTGATTATTGAAAATGAAATGTGGAGTGTGTAATCACCGGTTTTTTTGGGGCGGCTGCTGAATGTGTGCAGCGGCAGCTTGGAACTGCTGCCGCTTGTAAATCTTTTTGTGTGTGGCCGGTGGCAGCTTGGAGCTGCTGCCGGACGATTTCTGGCTAGTTTGTTGTTTCTTTGATTTTCTTTGATATTGGTCTAATAAATAAATTTTACTTGGTGTCGCACTTCCCTCGCCAGACAGGCCGCCGTCCCAACTCCAGCTCCCCTCCGCTACACCTTAGCTTGTGTGGTTCCCGAGATCGCTTTCCGCCAAAAAATTTGCATATTTTTTTAAAGGTTCCGTACACGGCACCCAGGCGTCCGTGGGGAATGATATTAAAACGGGAGGGTCGCGCATGGTATGGGCATATATTCCCAAAGTTTCAGCTTTCTATCTTTTCCCGTTCCCGAGTTATAAATTTTCCCGCCAAAACTTTCAACCCTTCGTACGCGGGCCCAGACGTGCGTGAGGGATAGTACCGCGGTTCTGGGGTGATACTTGGCCGGGGTACCCATTAGCAAAATCTCGGCGCTGAAACTTG